GCATGTATGAGACCAAGGGTTTTTATTCAGGAGATTGAAAATAAGATTTGAGGTCTGACCTAGAGTGACTGTGTAATGAGGAATACAACTGGCTCTCCCTTTATCGCATGTTTTTCAGAGCAAAGGTGAAAATTGGTTAAGAGGGCTTTTGAGAGACCGAATTGACTTCGGCCTCAGCGAAACAATCGGGTGGGTTTACTCCAGTTTCTTGGTGTGGCTCATCGTTAGCGTGCGGGGTGAATCTGCTTTGGGGCATGAGCTTCCACCGTGCAGACAGGAAATTATTTATGAGTCAGTGAAGTGGTTGTAAGCTGAAGTGTGTTATAGTGACATACATTCATATATTAGTGTGCGTAGAAATTACTCTTCTTGAATGAGATTCTCATTAATTTTGGTGAGATTTACATAATTCCTGAGTGCATACACAGCATTTAATGTGAAGGGGAGGAATGTTCTTGTGCAATGAAATTGCTTTGTAACTCTCGTTCAGTAGCAGTGTTGCTGATGTATGGAGCCTTAATTTTGTTAAGTAGGCTTCAAAAGCAAGCTTACTGGTTTTCTGCCTTATCAGAAAGGAGGAGTACTCTTGACAAGATGGTAGGGAGGTCTGTTCTTGGTGGTTGGCGAGGACGTGCACTTTGCAGTTTGCTTCGCGGAGGTGGCGTGCCTGGCAGAGCCTGGAATGGGGGTGCGACTGGGGGGTGCTGCTGGCTGAGAGCAGGAGTGAGGTTTTGTTGTATCACTTCTGAAGCAACTGAGACTACAGTTGACCTCTCTTCCTGTGATTCCTGATGTTTCTCGAGATCACCTCTTCCTCCAAGGAACCACGTTGTCATGTCGTATCGAGATGTCAGGGCATCGCTTCCTTGTGCAGCCGATTTATCTTGGTGTTGTCTTCTGGATTTCTTTCAAAACTCTGGTTCAGTGGTGAACCAGATTTTATAGTAATCAAATCTCATTGATGTTAGCGGTCATCTGTGAAGAAGTTCTTTCTCTGTGGACCTCCTTGTTTCTAGTGTTTACACCAGCGTGACTCTGCTCTACGTGTCTGTGTTTGTTATAGGTGATAGCTAACAAGAATAGATCCCGATGAGGTGGTAGATTGTCCATGTAATTTAATTACCACTTCAGACTATTGCCTGCCTTTTGGAATACTCAGGTATAGGAAGTTGTAACTTTAAGTTCTGCTGTTTCAGAAGCCGTTTGTTCTTCTTTCAAAGGGAAATGAAGGAGCCCTGTGATATTTCTGCGTACCGTATAGGAAAATGAGGTGAAGAGGTGTTGCTATTTAATATTATAGAAGTAGGGAAATGAGAACCTTTTGGGTATAGTCTTTGACAATTGAATAATAAACTAGTCTGTATTACAAACAAATAGATACAATGATCAGTGTAGCTAGAGGAACTACGTGACTGAAAGAAGGGGCCTCAGAATTGGTGATTATATATAGTTTGAGCATACAGTACCTGAAAGTCAGGCATGAAGACCTGGTTTAGAAAATGTTTTTGTCCATAATTGTTAGGATTGATGAAACAGAGATGAGTAGGGGTATGACTTAAATATTTGTAATGAATAATTACTTCCATTACCTCTGATAGCAGATAGAGAAGCCAATATTACTTTCTTTGCTTTTGATAGTCACTGGGGCAAAGTGCATTTGGGAAGGAGATGGAGGCAGCCCGTTTCCACTGTGTATCATTTAGCAGGGGAGGCTAGGATGGCAATTTGCAAACTAAGATGAGTATGAAGGACAGCTTCCTTCAGACCCTTAAGAGAGGAGTGAAAATAATAGCACTCTGTTAGGTGTGCAGTTAAACCAACCAGGTAGGACACAATTGGAGTGCACTTTGCTTTCATGGTTATCCTGCTTTTTGCCCTTTACCACTCTTCTTATCTTGGTCTCTGTATCCCCTCTGTAGTAATCAATGATCATGGAAACGTAGAGAAACGGTCAACACTGAGGAGAGCTATGTATGCTTACTGGACTATAGCTCTTGGAGAAAGAGGAGTTGCTGAATTGTGGTTTCTGGTGGAGGAGCATGAACTTGTGTTGAAGGCTTTGACTGTGTTGGAGATGATGTTGTTTTCAGTTACACCAGCTCTAGCTTCTCCACCAAGAACTCGGGCCAGTGTGGAAGCATGGCTTCATGCATGGCTGTAAATCCCATATTTGTGCTGCTTTAATTGGTTTAACAAGATGATAACACGTTTTTCTACTCAAGACAAATGCTTGAACAATACATCTGTGAAAATGTTCTTGCATCTCCTGTGAACAAATAAAATATATGATTGTAGCATTTGAAAAAATGTTTGGTGGAGTAAGGATGGCCTTGTAATGTGCTGAAGTACCATAAAGAACGGTGAGAGAGGGACCGAGAAGTAGAGTTTGTTCTTGTTCAGACACTGCCTGCGTGTTCTTCATGGGGCTTTCACCAGGGGTGTTAGCGCAGCTGAAACTGAGGGGAGCTCAGCTTGGCGGCAGGGAGTTGATACGACCAAAACAAAATACAAATGTCTCTGAATATCTTTTTGATTTGTGCTAGGGATGTAATGATTATATATTTCTAGGAGCTTTGTTTTGAGGTTCCCATAGCACAGGATCCACCTTTGGGAGTTTATTTGTTTTGGTGAAGTCGGGGGACATGCGTGAGAGCAGCCTCTGTTTCTCCACTAGCACTTTCCACAGCGCTGCACGTCCTGGGTCACTGCCATGGCGGCTGCGTCTGTGGTTTGCTGGGACATCGCTTTAGTAGCGAGAGTCATGAACATCACCTACTGAATCTCTTTATATAGCTTCTCTGTTCCTCAGATGTCTCATCGAAATAATAATTTGCTACTGTTCAGCTTTGTGGCTTAACGTGTCTGGAGGTTTTAGCACTTTCCATGAGTTCAGCTTGAAATGCTTCATGGAAGAATTTGGTCTTATTAACTTCTGTCTCATGTGAGGCAAGCGAGATGCCTTAGCTGGCGTCAGTGATGGAGGTGGCAGTAAAGGAAAGCCTTTGGTGTTGCCTGGTGCTGCAGTTTCTGGAAGGTGGAGTCCTGTTTTCACTCTGTGGTTGATGTGATAAGTGTCGCCGTAGAAGGTGGCAAGACTTAAAATAACTTTGAACTGAGCTGTAGAACTAAGAGGACACCTTATTTTTAAACTGTGATTCTGAGTGACTGGCCATTGAGGATTTGCGAATTACATAAATACGTATTAGATAATTTAATCTTTCACAAATTAGTATTGTCACAGAATAGTAGGAGAATTCAGACTGCCAGGACTTCTGGAGGTTACCTGTGGTGTTTTCCCTATATTCTTGGATGAGATCTATTGAATCTTGTCTTAAAATAGAAATATAACGTAATCACAAAAAATCTTGACTTGGTTCTGCTGGAAATAGTGGCTGGGCATCAGAAGTCAAGGTTAAGGTCAGTGAACAAGGGATAACTACGCTGGTGCATTAGCTTCTAAACCAGGTTTTGGGTTTTTGTCCTATAAATCACCTGCCAGGTATTACTGGGCTCCTTCCCTTGGCCTAGAGCAGGCTGCATCCAAATTTCCTGCTGTGTCTTCACCGGTGACACAACTAAATGCTGTGTGTGAAAAAGAGCCCATGAAGGACTGCAGTGACTACAGTGTGTGGATTACTCAGAAGTCTTTTACAAACTATTACCCCTGCTCTAGCAGAAAGGTGTATCAGATCTGTTGAGTTGCAGTGATTATGTAAACATTGAGTAGGAGGCGTGTAGTATTTATTGCTCATGTGCCATCGTGTTTGTGGCTGTTGCAATAAGCGCTGCTTTGATACAGGTGTGTTATCTGAGGAGGGCAATAATTTAGTCTGAATCCCAGCACGTGGTTGAACTTCTGTGCTTTGTCCTCAAGTCCATAGTTGGGTTTTTTTTTCTTTGCTCCTGCCCATATGCTCAACGGCTGATCTGTAAGGACTTGCCTGGATGAGATTTGGGAATGAAAATCAGAAGTGTTTTCTTGCATTTTCAATGTATCTGACTTACTTAGCTAACAGTTTTAAATTGCAGCTTTTTTTAATGTTCTAATTGAATCAATCTTCATCGAATTGTGATCCGAAGCAGAAAATGGCTCAGCTCCCCAAGTAAATGTATAGCTACAGGTCTTCCAGGTGAGCAAGGCCAGTGTCACCTCCCAGGGCCGTCCCCTTGCTCCTGCAGCCCCTGGGCTCTGCCCTGCCCGAATCTGGAAGGACCCTTTGCCATTGCCCATGCCTTGCCTGCCTTGCCTTAGCTGGCAAGTCTTGGGGCCACCAGCGTAGCCCTGGAGCTGTGTGGCTGCTGTGCGACATGATAGCAACCTCTTGGGAGGAGGAAAAGGCCATACCCCATCAGGGGCTTGCTTAAGGTGTTTTGCACCCCAGTTTGTGCTTCTGGATTTCCACTTTGAGATGTTGTGGTTGGTACAGAAACTGAAATTGGCAACTGATCCTAAAGCATCCCTCGCTCTCCTTTCTTCATCCCCTGCCCCCCCATTTCAAATGGTGTTATTTAATTTTATTTGCCTTTTGTTTCTACCACTGTGTTTTCCTCTTTCATATCAGTGTAACTTGAATATAAATCTGCCTGTTTTATAAAAGAGCCTTTACTTGATTTTCATCTGAAAGGAAGAGATGCTGACTTGCTGACTTATGCATTGACTCCCTGGTTCGAAATCCTGCAGCTCACTGTGAAACATTAGTCTCTGCAATACGATTAGCAAAGGCAGTTGTGCTAGACTTTGTGTGTCGTAAAAGTAATTGCTGGTTTTGTCTTTTCTGTGTGTGTATAAATCTAACACTCTAAACATAGTAGCTTCTGGGAGTCTTAAAGGTAAGACATGTTTTGGGCTCAATAACCTTGTTATATGCTGTAATATATAACGTAGCTCTTGGTCTGTATCAGAAAAATTGTATGCACTATGATTATCATTAAAAAAACCCCACAAATACAAGCATTTCCTTATGTATTTATTTTTCTTACCCATCTATAAATAGGTGCGTTCCATGGATGAACTGAATCATGATTTTCAAGCGCTTGCTCTGGAAGGACGGGCTATGGGAGAGGTAAGTGAAAGGCCTATAGACAAAAATCTGGTTATTTTGGGGGGAGGAGGAAAATAACAGTTTTTGAGGCTGCTGGAGTGATTCTGAACTTGAGAGTTCTCCATTATGACTGTGAAGCTTGTGTGTGTGTGTGAGTGTGTGCTTTAACAAAATAAAAACCTGTCAGGCTGGAATACATCTTAGTAGGAGGAACAGCTAAGCCCTCCACCTGTTGTATCATCAAACAGTAAAATGGTGGTTGTAAAAGAACAGTTAGAAATATGTCTTGTGACAAGTGTTACAATACTTGTAGCGTGTTTATTTTGGGATCCAGTGATCTCAGACCCCATAATATTGTGGGTTTAGTTGTCTGTCATTGTCTGCTGCCCTGTTTCCACTCCTGGTCACCTTTTGGCTCTTGTAATAAAGCACAGGACTGTGTTTAACGTTTAAAGTAGCTGGGCAACGTAATCAAGGGCTGCAGAAGTGTGAAGTGCTTCAGACAGGTCAAAGGACTGAGCAAGAAGTTGTCAGATAACGGGCCCTTCAGGTCTAACTTGACAGAAACCCAGTGAGAGTTATTTTAATCGAACGCCGCAGTAAGAGGGTGGCAGGTTTGGGGTAGATGGCCATTGGTTTTCTTTGAAAAGAGAGAACTTACGTGTTGGCTTGAAAGAATAACAAGTTACTGTAGTTGGCTGTGTTAGGTTCCTGAAAGTTGGATGTAAACGCTTCTTTTCCTTGCCTTGTTCCCTTTTCCTTTATAGTCAGTCCATTTAGAGGCTTCTGGAAGAACAGAGATGAGAAAATTATGTCTTGTAGAAGGATATTAATGTATAGCAGGTCAGCTTGATGCTGTTGTTTTTGGAGGGCCTTCGTTTTTGCGTTCCTGTCTGTCAAGTTCAGACTAGTTTATTTTCTCCACCTTTTAGTCCGTCCTATCTCTGTTACCTAGTTTATGAGCCAGGTTAAAAAAAAATGTCCCTAGAACCCAAAAATTACTGTTTTGGAGAAAACAGCAAACCAGAACTGTGGTGGGATTCCTAAGAAGGTGCCCTCTCTCCTTCCTTCCTTCTCTGGAAGATCATAATACTGAGTTGTATTTTAATTTGTCAGTACTTTGTTTCTCTAAGTTAATTTGGCAGTTCCCTGTTTCTCTAGGTTATATTAACATACATTGAGACTATTGACTAAGAGTAGATGAAAATGATTTACAAAGGAGAAAACATGATATTAAAAAGTCTGTCTAAAGCGGCTGAAAAGCAGCTGATGTGCCTCCATATGAAGCATGCCGGTGGAATGGCGGGGGTGTGAATGTTCTGTGAATACTATTTTTTAACACCTCACTTGGGCAAGACCTTCATTTTCAGATATAGAGTGTGCAGGCTCTTTGAAAGCCTGTTAAGAGCGTCACGTTAGCTTAAATGCCTGAAGACATTCCTAAACATGCTGATTTTTACCAACTCTACTTAGCCATTTCTTGAGAGAAGTGGATTTGGGTTTGGTTTTTGGAGTGTGTGAGGTTTTCCTTCCCACGATGACTCACCTTGTAACTGTGATGCCAAAGGTTTTGGAGATGGCATCCTTTTGTCACTGGGCTTTTCCACATACTGGAACATGCATGTTTTTCCAGGAAAGGTGACACTTCACCCTTCTCTTTAAGCTAAGACACTGTTTCATGTTTCTCTTGGGGTTTTTCTCCCTCAGTCCCACAACTTCCTTTCTTTATCCATTGAATTTTCTCTGTATTTCCCCAAGGTATTCCAACATAGATCCAGCTGGCTGATTTAAGGAGCTATGTAAACCGAGATCCTCACGGGATATACGTATTGGCTTTCAAGACCGTGTTCTTCAGCTAGAGACTTTGATTTTCTGCAGCATGCCGTATCTGTTGTTTAGATGCCTTAGCAAGGCACTGATGGTTTCCTCCCCTGCTCCTGGAACGTGAAGGAAACTCATGGAGAAAGTCAGTGTACTAAGAACAAATTTAAGTCTGAAATAAATGAGGAAAAGAGCAAATTCGATTTGTATTTCTTGATCTTGTGTCTTCTGAGCCTTACCTGCAGGAAGTGTCAATAATCTCATACTTTGAGTTGACAGGGAGAAACCTGGAGGAGAAAGATGAGGAAAAGACTGTTTACACGTTTAGTGTATCTATTTATCTTCTCGTTTTCTCGCTTCTTGGTAAGCAACATCATCATAATTTTAGTGATTTAAGGAGTTTGTGCCTCTGAAGACATCAGAGCTTTTCTTAAAGCTTGCTGTCAAACAATTAAATCTCTTATCTGCATTTTGACAGCAGGATAGATAATAATTGGTGATGAACAGATATTCTAATCTGGGAACATTAAGAATAGTTTAAAAAACCCCGTAACTTTCATCTGCCTTGTGGCTGTTTCCATCTTCAAAATCCCACCTTCTGCAAGCAGCCTTGTACCCCCCTAAATTCCTGTGTGAGGGGAAGTGCAACGCTTTCTCAGGTGTGAGATTGAAAGGAAGAGCCACAGAAACCCTTCTGCTCCGCTCTACAATGGAAGGGATGTGGGTGGTTGATAGTGAATGTGGTGGATAATGGTGAAGGTAGCCTTGTAGAAGGGGCATCTGTTCTCTGCCCCTTTTTTAGCACCTTGGCCAGGTTGGTAGCTGTAACGAAGGAAGTCATCTTGGAGCCTTACTACAAGCCATGTAAGAGCAATGAAATCTTCACTAGTTTTGTATCCAGCTCCCCTTCTCAGAAGATATTGAACTGGGAGGCAATAAAAAGCCACGGTGTGTAGCAATTGGTGAAGGAAGAGAGTGATGCTTCAGAAGTTGCACACAGGGGCCAGTCGGTTTAGCTGCTTTAGAGCACAGAGCAGAACATGTGTCTGTGCTCTTGTGCTGTCTTCTGAGGTCTTGGATCCCACAGCAGTGATACTTACCTGAGGCTTAACGTGAACTATGCAAGTTCTCTTTCTTGTCCAGCCTTCAAGACGGGAGAGCTGGATATATCTGCTTTTCTTCGCTTAAATCCCTCTTACCTGTAGCTTTGCAATATTGAATATTCATGCAATGTCTTTTTGGGGATAGTGGACAGCGCAGAGAGACTGCGCGGTGCTGTTTGTCGTCAGGGCATTAAGTGCATTTTGAACTGTGGCAACATTCTTGATTTGGTAGTAGGTTATCTGTGAGATAAGCCCGTGTCCAGAATAAAAGAGCAGCTGGGTGAGTAGCAGGCTGTAACTTAATCTGGGAGGGTGGGAGGAGGATGGGAACAGAAAGGTATTAGGCAACTGGCAGGTACTTAGCTTCAAAAAATGGAAGGAATTGAACCAAAAATTTTGAAGTATGAATATTGGGGTAACAGTGAATCTCACCCTACACTTGAAAAGAAATGCTGGTAAGAAATATTTTCCATTTCATGTGATGAGCATCTAATTATTGCTCTCTGCTGCTGGCCTCTGCAGGTCTTAGTGCTGGAATATAGTGTTGGTCTGACTCTGGCCGTACAGTGAAATTGCTGCAACCCGTGTGGCTCACTGTAGCAGAGCTCTTAACCATCCCAGGCTGAAGTGTCTGTGTGTATGTCCCCTGGATGCAAATGGACAGATAAACCCCAGCCTCTCCAGGGACCAGCGCTTTTTGTTGAGCAGAGTGGTGGTGACACTGGGCCTAGGCATCCCTGTATCTGGTTAAAAAAAAACAACCAACAAACCAATTTAAAAAAAAACACCTAAAAAACCCCCACATGACTCTGCTTTCCCTGGTAATGATGCCTTTACTGTGTTCTCATAAATTTATGATTCATTAGCAGCTGGGCTAAGGGAGTATTGACAGTTTTGAATAATGTTTCTGTTCAGGTTTGGGTTTGTTTTTTTTCCTCCTTCAATTTATCCAGTGCTAGCAGCATTAGAAATGGGAGGATTGAAGCTGTGTTTGCAAAGCGTGATGGGGCCCCAAGAGCTACACTGGCATGGCAGGATGGCTCAGTGCAGGGGCTGAGAGCACCAGAACCGAGGCAAGAGCTAAGCAAGAGCGCACAGGGGACGGTTAGGCAGCCATGGAGGCAGTGAAATGCAGTTAGACAGCTTAAAGCTAGCCATCCTGGCACGATGGAGTTTGTTTCTTTTTTTTTTTTTTAACATTCCTCACTATATTTCCAGTCATACAATCCTGTTCCATTTTTTTTGGTGTGCTGTCAGACCCTCCCGTGAGCCGGTTTAACTCCCTGAGCCAGCAGCCGGCTGCCCGTTTTTTGGGACAGAAGACCAAAACCTGTTCTTGCGGTGGCACTCCAGCTGGGATTGCTGCTTGTGTGCTCAGCCTCCCTATCTTGTTTGGTTTTACATGGCAACATTTTTTTTAGGGTAGATAACATCTTAGTGTTTGTAAACCTGCCGTGCTGCCCTGATGTGACTTGTAAATACACGCTCTGCCTTCTACCTGTTGCTGCAGATAAACTGACTTCTCCAACTGCACAGATGGCTTCTTTTATCTTAATATTTGCCTTGTCTGATGGGGATCAGTTTACTTAATTTGTCTAATTCGTAATCCCATCTCAGTGGGATCTATATGCGCAGGCTCTGTACTTGCTGGTTGTAGAATTGCTTTTGTTGATGTGTAAGTCTTCCTCTCCCCTCCTCCCCGCTCTGCTAAATTGAATATTGGCCTAACTCTGTAAGTCCTCTGTAAGAGGGCTTAGAAGGATTATTTTCACACTAGATAGGGTCAATTTTAATAAAAACTGTGGAACAAATAAACTAGTCTACTTCTAAACTACCGCATGTTCCTTTTTATTTTCCGATGTGAAGAACTGGACGATACTCACTTAAAATTATTTATTTATTTTTTTCCCGTTGCACCTGACAACTTTCCCTGAGGAAAAATGTGTTGTCTTGGCGGCCTGTTGCATAATTCAGTACAGATGATTGCTGCTTGCTAAACCTCTAGTTTTGGTTGGACCGGTGCTTGACAGAACAAGGACCCCCGTTGCCATCTGTTAATACTGTCTTTTGGGTTTTCCCCTCCCCAATATCTGTAAA